ATGGATAGCGATTTGAACATGCAGTGGTTGTCGAGGACATTGCTACCTGCCATGTCAGGCAAAACCAGTGAGAAAGTAATTTTTGCTGACAATGTTAGTTTTCAGCAGAGGAAACAATTCCATGAGGCTTGCAGAAAAGAGGTTAATGCGTCTGTTTACCTCCTGCCTGAAAATCACACTGATAAGGTGCAATCCATAGATGCGAGGGTTGGAAAACTTTTCAAAACCAAAGTGGGAGAGGCAATGGAGAAGTGCCTTGAACAGGATGAAAACCTTGATTTGTGGCATGACAAAATTGGTGCTAAGGACAGACGCATTCTAATGACAAAGTGGGCTGGAGAAGCCTGGAAGGAGCTGTCAAAGGACATGGATCTGTTCACAAAATTGTTCCAAAAAACTGGCTGTTTGATAACAGCTGATGGTTCAGATGATGACAAAATCCGACCCCAAGGGCTAGATCCTTACCTTATTTAGGCTTTTTAAATGCTTTTTAAATGTAATATTTTTGCTAGACTATATTGCCAGACATTGTATGAGATTAATACAAATTCCAATCCTCTATCAGTGGACATTTTTAAAGAGAAACTTTGACATTTTATCATGTTATGTTGTTGTGTATGCAAGATTTATTGACAATTATAGTGAAGGTTACAGTACCATAGGTTTGATTGTAACAGAATCAGATTAAAATAGTATAGTATTTTGCTTAACGAAGCCTCCAAGAATACTGTTTTTGGACATTAAACACCAGATCATTTAAAAATTCAGCTTTCTTTCTTGAACAAAAGTTAAGAACCTAATTAAGAACCTAGTTAGCCTAATTTTACACTAAATACTATTTATATAAGAACCTGTTTAGGCTAACTTGGAAAAACCTAGGTTCTTATACGCGGGTTTTTACTGTAGTTAACTGATATTTGGCCCAAAAAACAGTAGTTAACTGATAATTGGCCAAAAACTTAGTAGTTAACTGAGAAATGAAAAGTTAACAGGTAAGTGAGATTCTATTAATTATACTGAATACGGTCGTTAATGTTAATGAAAGCAACAAAGTTTTCCAAACAGAAATGCTTTTTCTGACTTTTTTCTGTCCTCCTGATTACCTGGTGGCTCATTAACTGATATTAGTATATGCAAAAAGGCACCAGGGTAGTACCCGGCAAACGGAAAGCGTCAGTCGCAGAGATGGTTGTAGACAACTCAACGAATAAGTCGTCTTCTAATATTAACAAGATTTCTGTGTTCGGAAAAGGAAAGTACTGTTTTGACGGACCCAAAAGATCGTCAAATTAAACATTGCTAACCAAAGAAATAAGCTGTGACTCTTAGCCGGTATTTGATCTGGCCAAAAAGAAGTTCTGATGGCTCAAAGAAACAGCATCTTTTTTTAAGTACGTGGAATTTATACTTACGAGAAACAATGTTTGTAAAGGTAACATTGAGGAACGCGAAAGAGGATGTCGACAAGTCTGTACCGGGGTGCAAAAAGCTTCTGACAAAGCAGGTGGAAAACCTACACGCGATTTCTCACTTCAACACAAAACACTTTCTGAGTGCTTTGAACTGCGCTCAAGACTTTAATTGGAACCACAGTGAAAGAATCGCTTAAAAGAACGAAGTGCGCTACACTCCGCAAAGAGTCGAATTGTCCCGTGTCAAATACTTTCATGCCATTGTCAGCAGTCTCAACTTGTTCTCCCATCGGCGCAAACAGTGACAAGAGAAGATTAGGGACAGGGACTGAATAGACAACGTTTGACCTGTTTGACACCGGACTATAAGAAGCGAATTAACTCAAGATAAAGCGTCACGGGACTATGTCATGCTATCTGCTATCTTTTTAAAAAGCTAAAACTTTTTGTATCAATTGAATTCCAAAAATATTGGTTCACTTTTGTTATTTAAGACGATATTTTGGCATTGATATTGTTTCCCGTCGTCTGTCTCTGTTGCAATGGATTGCAAGGATTGAAAATGGATTGAAACTTAGGCAACAACAAGATACAGGACTTACAGCAAACAGATAAGTACGAGACTGATTCAGATAATAAACTGAAAGTGACGAAGAAGGTGACTTTGAAGAAGTTTGTAGCATGACATGCATGACCAGGTCGGGAAGATCAGTACGAGATCATGACTGGTGCGTCTGGATGTACGTTGATGGTTATACGACTGAATCTAATTTGTACTTACAGCAAAAATCGGTTAATAAGAGTCTTAATAGCTATCGCTTACCCATTCTTACTAGACTTCGGTAAAATAATTATGTTTTTTTAATTTCTATATTTTCAGTTACTTATAAATGGTACTAGTGGCGGAGTTTATGTGAATTCGTGTAAGTTTAAACCTGAATTTAGTAGGGCCTACCCCAAAATTGATTGACGTGCTGAAGTAAAGAAAATTCGGTATATGACGGAATAATATTCGTTGTAGGAAGGTGAAAGTTGATTTATAGGTAACCAAAATTAGTAGTTAACTGAGAATTGGCCAAAAAAATAGTAGTTAACTGATTTCTGGCCGAAAAATTAGTACTTAACTGAGAACTGGGTACCCCCATTAGCACCCTCTCGGTTGACATCTCTTTACTTTTTACACTACACTGCAGCCTTACAAACAACATTTCTGCTATAATCAGTAGCTTCGAATTCTCTGAAATCATCTTGTCATCAAACTTGTTACGCTTGTGGCAAAATATACAGACTGTTTCAACTGTTATTATCAACTGTTATTATTTAAATAAATAAAAATAAATTCCATTCAATCAAATTAAAAGTTAGTTTAGGACATTTGACGCATTTCACACGGTAAACTATTAATTCCAGATTTTTACACCATATCTTGAGAAAGACTTAGTTTGTTTGTCTAACTTTGAGTGTTTAACATAATAGTCACCTCTTGAAGATGATCTTGTATTATATGAATGAATATTAGACTGGGAATCAAATAAGTTAGATATGTTAGTAGGTGGTAAGCCGTTAGATATATCATGGATTAGAACAGCAACGGATTTAAAGCATAGAGCAGATCTAAAGGAAGAAAGCTAGAGGAGACAAAATAAGGTACTGCATGAGAATTGCAATCGCCAAAGAACATGAGGCGGAGGGCGCGGTTTTGAAGAATAAGAATTTTGTTATTGTAAGTTTTAGCAGCTTGGCCCCAAGCAATCAAGCCATACAGTAAGTAGGGCTGTATATTAAGAGATATCTATATGTGGTGTAAAGTATTCAGGAGTTCAAAGGCTGGCAATAATGCCAGTTGTTTTACTTATTTTTGAAGCGATGTTTGCGACATGGTATTTCCAAGAAAGATTTTCATCAATAAGCACACCTAGATATTTGAGATAATTTTTGCATTCTAAAGAAATGTACGAGTTGTTATGATGGTCAAATACTTTCTCCATGGCAGATATTCTTGCTTCGGCTTGCTTCCGAAACTTGCCAAGGTCGTCATATTCTTTACTCAGAGAATCCAGAGACTTCGTAGCACCGGCCTCATCACCATTGCTTGCCATGGCTGCCAGGATGCTGCTGCTTCAAAGACTCTTTAAGTTGCTTTTCTCTCCTTCAACTTGTCATTCTCAGTTTTCAGTGATAGAATAGTTTCTCAGGGGCGGATCCAGGATTTTTTTTAGGAGGGGGTGCACTCGTCTCTTGCTCTACTTCAACACCAATAAACCACATAGTTTTTTTTTTGCAGAATACCAGTTGTATTAGAAAACCGCAGATTACACACTCTACACCCGCGTCACCTCTCTGGCACGTCCCACCCAATCCATATGTCCTCGTTATAGCAAAGGGAAAAAAAGTCGCACAAGGAGAGGAGGGGGCGGCGGGGCGGAGGGGGGGGGCGGGGCGGGGGTGCGCACCCTCTGCAATACAAAATCCGTACAATTTGAAAGAAAAATTTCGAAAATTCCGAAATAAAACTCACAGAAAGGAATCCGAGCTCCTGGAACAAAACAGCAAGGATTAGAAAAAGAAACATTGCCTTTCATGACAAAATAACCAGCCCTTAGTGTCTACTATAGAAGAAGATTTAATGAAAAAGTGGACTCCCATACACAAAACCATACACTACTTACCTATTATTTTTGACAAGGAAGGAAAATCATGGCGGCAAACAACATGCTCTTTAGAGTCACACTATTAAAGGTCAACACACGGTTTCACGCTGGTATAGAGGTGCAGCCTATAACCCCTTCCAGTTTTTTTACTAAATATAATTTACGCAGAAGTCTAGAATGGGCGTTTTCTCTGTGCCCAATTAAAAAAACCTTCTCTTTATTACTTTTTATAGTGCCCTGTAATCAACAGGGAAACCAAGTTCGCATTTACAATAAAAGGTTTGGTAATTATTGACAAACAAAGGGGGAAATAAACGATCACGTTGCATAAACAAACCAGATCAGAGTTGATGAAGTTTAAGTGCAATCAAATGATGCATTGTTACAAGTTTAAAACACGTTTTATAGGGATCAAAGTCTTGCAACTAAGTACATAACAAATATTAACAAGAACGCTCTTACGGCGAATATGAGTCTCGCGTGCTTGGAGATTAGATCGAGAAATGAGGAGGCGATTAATTCTACACGAAACAGCATTTACTCGCTGAAGGTTTTTTACTTCCTACATAATCGACGTCGATACTTTTCTGGATTGATTTAGTACGCGTGTTAGCGACGACCGGAAATACGTCTGCGGTCGCAGGCTATACGCGTGTATAAATTCACGAAAATTCAAGGACCTCGATTCCAGAGAAATTACATCATTGCCAGAGATCAAAAAAGTGGTTTACATGGCACGTCATTTGAATCATCGCCGAAAATCAACCGTATGCTCATCACAAGACCCCTTTGCATACAATTCAATGAAAGTTTAAAACACCCGACCATCGCAGTTTTGCTAATTAAGATTCTTATTTTTTTCGACCACTCAGTCTTGTTCCAAAGTAATCAACGCTTTCAAGCGATACAATTCGTGGACCGACACGTTTTGGAAAAGCTTAATTATATTTGATATTTTCTAAGCTTTCTTCGCAAAAGATTTGTGGCTTCGATCACGCAACGATTCTAAGTCCCTGTTTCCACGGTCTCCGCAAGGAACGCCTGGCACAATGACCCCCTTTTGTGTCCTAAATACGAAGAAAAACGCGTTGCTGATCATAAGCCCCCATTCAGACCCTTCAAGTAAAACAGAAGTGCAAGATCTAAAATCGGTGGCAAAATTAGTTGAGACACTTAGGCCAAAACGACATCTCATTGGCATGTTTTTTATTTGATCTAATTAAAAATAGTGCTAAACATCAATCAGTAGTCCCTTAGTCATTGTTATAAGTTATAAGTTTGAAAAGTTATGAAAACGGTGATCATCTGATCCTCAGTGTGATATATTGTCCATTTGTAAATTGCCTTTACCCCCTTTTTAGCTTTGTAAGACCCCCAAAAATGATAAACAAAGAACAGGGAAGTTTCCACA